CCTGATGATGACCTCCCTCTCAACAGAGTACTACCAATTCATCCTCGCACAAGGAATCTGCAGCCCAATCGGCGCAAGCGCCATCTTCAACGCCTCCGTCAACTCCGTCAGCACCTGGTTCGCTAAGCGCCGTGGTTTCGCCCTCGGCGTAACAGCCTCTGGATCCAGTCTGGGCGGAGTCATCTTCCCTATCATGGTCAGCCAACTGATTCCCAAAGTCGGGTTCCCCTGGGCGATGAGAATCTGCGCCTTCCTCATTTTGTTCATGTTGGGTATCGCCAACCTCACGCTCAAGTCGAGATTACCGCATCACCCAAAGCCATTCCATATCAAGCTTTTCCTGAGACCGTTGGCGGAGATTAAGTTCGCGCTTACGCTTGCTGGTGCCTTTTTCTTCTTCTGGGGCATGTTCTTGCCCTTCACTTTTGTGATTACCCAGGCCGAGCGATATGGCATGTCTGCCGATCTGTCCGGGTATCTGATTCCGATTTTGAATGCTGCTAGGTAAGTTTTCCCCCTGTCTAGTTCATACACCTCACCTCGTTCCTGAACTAACACAATCCAAATAGTATCCTCGGCCGCACACTCCCGGGTTATTACGCCGACAAAGTCGGCCGCTACAACATGATGGTGATAACAACGTTCTTCTCTGCCATCATCGTCCTGGCCCTCTGGCTACCGTCAAGAGGCAATGCCCCGGCAATTGTGTTCAGCGCCCTATACGGCTTCGGCTCTGGTGCATTTGTCTCGCTCGCACCGGCTCTTGTGGCGCAGATCTCCGATCTTCGCCAAGTGGGCGTGCGCAACGGCACTTTCTTTGCCGTCATCTCGTTTGCGGCCTTGACAGGTACTCCTATTGGAGGTGCTTTGGTGCCGGATGTTCTCCATGGCAGTTATACCAAGCTACAGATATTCTGTGGTGTTGTCATGATTGTCGGGTCGGTTTTCTTTGTTTTCGCCAGGGGCGCTGTTGGTGGATTCAAACTTAACAAGGTATAATTATGCGGCCTTTGGGTCTTATTAGACTGGACGTCTTTTCGGGTTTCGATCTTTTATAATTCTTCATGTTTAATAGATAATCTCCCCTTTATTGAGGACAAGAGTTAACGAAATATAACATACTCCTCGAGAACACTGAGTACCTCCACATCACAATCAGCGCCGTCTATGTCGGCTTTGGGCCTTCGGATATATGGGACGGTCTTGAGCAAGGAGTCACGGCCCCGGGCAGACTCAAGTTGCGTTGTCGCTCTATGTCGGTGTCATAACAGGGATTGCTCATGGGGCTGCTAGTTTGGGGTCAGGTCCTAAGAAGCAGTGTGTCGGGGTATACCGAGGGGTTATACTAAGACCACGAGGATGAAAGATTAGAAATGTTAGAGAGCATATTGTATTGAAGATAAGTCCACCGAAGTGGTCATATCTTCTAGTCAGCAACCAAGGAAGCCTTGGAGAGGATCTTGGATCAAGTATGATGAAAGGGTTATGACAAAAGAACGCGATGAGGATGTTTCTAAAGTACCTAAGGTGCATTCAGAAGATAGAACAAAATATTCAACAAGAGTATAGACAGGAAACGCCATAGCACCGTCGCTGAATGATGATGCATGAAAAAAAGAACAGAGAAACACCGTTATGCTCCGGTATATGCCTCCAAAAAAATGCAGCAATTAATTAAGCCAATACCCCTTGTCTCATGTTCTGGACCGTCTTGACCCCAACGCCTTTCAGCTGGCTCAGTTGTGCCAGGCTGGTGACCTGGAATTGGGGCTGGTCTGAGACGACTCCGCTGTCAGTTGTATCCACTGATGGCTGGTCCATCTCGCAGAGGCAATCAACAAGAGCCTCTGCCTTTTTGGCACCCACTCCCTTGAGCAATCTGATCCGGCTCACGTCCCGCGAGTTGATGATGGAAAGAATATGCTTAGTTCGGGGAGAGAGGGATGGGTCCTCACTATCAAGGAGTTCGGGGGCTTCCTCGACCTGGCCGAGCTTGGCTGCAGCACGCTTCTTATGTTTTTGGCGAAGAACATCCTCGCCACTTGAAAAACCGGCATGAGTCTGGTCTATATAGCTATCCTCATGAGTCTCTGCTTGGCGTTTGCCGAGGGTTTGTGTTACGTCCTTCTTGAGGGAGAGCATGCTACCCAGCCTCCCCTTGGGCGGGGAATCGGGTTTCTCTTCCCAAGCCTTTGCATGAACCCGCTCCTGCAAGGCAGCAATCTTGGCTGCCAGCTTCTCGTTGTGAGGGAAGTGAGGAGCTGCCAGCTGGTACATTCTCAGGGCTGACCCGTCTTCACCATGTGCCTGATGTTGTTTAGCCATCAGCAGGTATGACAGACCCTCAGCCCGTGCATCTTCTGTGCCATCAATGCGCTGCTCCAACTGCTCCAATCGCTTTTGAAGCTGCTCATTAAGCTCGTGGACTTGCGTCTGCCGCGATTGTTCGCTCACAGCCCGCACAGCTAAGATCTCCTCAACCTTCCTCTCAACCATCTCCTCAATCCTAGCAGCCGAGAAGTCATCATGACGCGCGGTGGGTTGCACGCCCAGGGGCTGACGGGCGGGCTTCAATGACGGAAGGCCGGAGGGAGCGTTGGAGATCGAGGTGCGTTTCGGTACTTCCAGTTTTCGGATCTGGCTGATAAGCTTGGGTTGGGGCTTGTCCGAGTATACGCTGAATGCCTTAACGGGTTTGCCGTCTTCCTTTTCTGCGGTGTCCTTCGCAGCAGGCGCCGGCATATTTACATTCACAGAAGCAGTCAGTGCACGCAGAGGTTGCCGCGTACCCATAGATGGCCGAATCGATGGCCGGGCCGGACCCTTGAACATGGGATCATTTTCTACCTCTCGGACCTCGATCTTCCGTGTGCGATTGGCGACGTTCAGAGAGCTAATTGTGTCAAGGTGGTAAGACCGGACAGGCGCGAGGTTGAGAATCATCACTGTCAAGCCATTGTTCTGTCCCAAGGACAAAATCCTTGTCATCTTGGACTCGCGGTACGGGATGCGATGCTGCTTCTTGTTGATAGCCTCGACACACTGTGCCAGAACGAAAAGACTCTTGTTGATGCTAGCCGATTCCACCATGCGCTCTTTGTCATTTTCCGTCCGTCTATTGTCTTCGGATCCCGCGAGATCAATAGCGGAAGCAGTGCTGACGCGAACCTTGTCAGGAGAGGAGATGGTGACCTTCACACCGAGAACGGCGTGAGATCGAGATGAATGGGCGTTGAGCTATGTTGTATGTTTAGCGAGAGAATATGGGCCCTGGCTTTCGGCGTGGTATCATACCTTTGTCGCGGAGGTGGAACGGTTAGTGTTAGCCTGGTCATAAAGCTGCTCAAACTCCTTCAAAGTGGTACACGGCTTCTCGCTCAGCCCGCAAACCACGGTCTTGCCGCCATTATCCCGCAGGGGAAGACCTGACATTGTGCGCTTCTCGGGCGGCTCAAACAAGTCGTACACCTTGTCATTGTAGATTTCATAATAACTCAGGGCGACCTGGACTGTCGTCTCTCCCTCGCTGTCCTTTTCAATCTTCCGGCTACGTCGGTAGATTCCACTGAGCAGCCGCGGGATTACACCCCGGTCAGCCAGTGTTTTCCCGCCCCGCATTGTGTGTGTTTTGCCTGTTCCGGTGACACCGTATGCGAAAAGGGTCACGTCGAATCCGTTGAGAAGATGCTTGATTGTTGGCGACACTGTGAACCGGATCAATATACTGACCCATCGCAGACCAGATGAGCTTAAAACAAGAACTTACCCTCAGCATCGAACAGCTCCTGCTGCGATACCTCTGCGCCGTACACGCCATTGAACTGGAACGCATACTCCTCCCCCTCATTCTTGGGGTTCGGAATTCGAACCACATTATCTCTGTCCCTCAATGCCGCCAATTTCTTGTCACTCTTGTCACTCTTGTCGCCATTGATTGACTGGCGTGATTTATCGGCGATAGCGGAAGATCCTGTACGAACGATCACATCGGCCTCCCGTTCGGACTTGAGAAGGGGACGGATACGCGCGACAACTCGGACACTCATTGTGGCGGGGTGTTCATTCAATTGTCGTGTGATGGTCTGGGTCCTGGTCGTCAGGGATGCAATGCAATCCAATCAAAACAAACTGAAGGAATGGCTAGAACGAAATGTAAAGCCAAAAAAAGACAATAATCAAGAACAATAAGGTCCTCCCCCAAAAAAACAAAGAAACAAAACTAACTACTCGGTGTATGCAGAACTGAAGGTTGTGGAACGTGTGGAGGAGTTCTCGTGTGCAGCAGCCGATGTGGTTAGTGTTGGCAGGGCAACCGCCTCTTTCGACAACACATCTTATATACTAGTACATTCCTAAGACTCGAGCACCACAATGGGGATATCTAATTGTCCGGTACAAATTTAGCAAAGTAATCAGCTTGTAAATCGCGTAGTCTCATTATCATAATTGACAGTACAGGAGAATCTGTGGATGTGCTCTACGCTTGGACCAGGGATTAGGTGTTCAGTCTGACCAGCCCAGATACTTAGGAACATATATAGGTCAGCTCGACGACAGTAAATAGTACATATATATCTGCATATGCATATATCCCAGCATTGATATCTAAATGGTCTCGTACTCGATATCAAATGTTGTCGTACAGTATAAAAACACCTCTCGTCACATGTTCTCTGGACTCTGATTGGCTGGAGCGCCACGACCTAAAGGCCACCGTAGACCATCATCACCGCCTCTCCCACACTCCCTTGGTTTCTTCTGGTGAGCTGTCTTTTGCCTCGCTACTGCCTTTTGTGATACTTCTGGGCTTTCTAAAGGTACAGCTGCCCCGTACGCAACCAGGTTCACCCTGTTCCGTTGACGAGAAATTGATTGTGGGGTTCCAGGAGCTGTTACCACCCGTCTCCTCACATCGATTCCACCCGCCGACTTCGTGACAAGCGCAACCCTCTTTTCCTCCCAACCGTTAAGTGCGACTAAACACAATCTACTCGACTCTAATGGCAGCACCACAAGGGGGATTCCCCCCTCAGGAAGGCTATGCCCAGCCTGCCTACGGCACCCCAGAACCCACACAATCCCCGGTATACGGGCAAGGCGCACCCGCACCAGCTGCAGGCGGAAAGAAGAAGAGAGCGTACGCCGGTGAGGCATTTGATTTCGGTTCTGGCGCCAATGCCGCGCTAGGTGGACAACCCACGGCTGGGGGTGCTTACGGGGCCTATCCTCCACAGCCCCAAGTTGTAGGGTATCAACAACCCGCCTACGGTGCGGACCCCAACATGATGCAGCCCGCAGCATACGGCGCACCTGTTTCCGCAGATGTCTCGCAGATGACCCAGCAATTCGGCGGAATGGGCATGAGCGAGCCTCATCACATGCCGCCCCCGCAGCCCGTGGCCCAAGCCCCTATGCGACCTCAAGTCCAGCTCAACCAGCTTTACCCCACGGATCTTCGATCCCAACCTTTCAACGTCGCTGAGCTGGACTATCCCCCTCCTCCAATTATTTTACCCCCGGGAGTACGTATAGATGCCATGTTGCGCATGTGGTTGATATGCTTACAATCGACAGACCAGTGTTTACCCGTCGGAAGCCAATTGCCCTACGAAATATATGCGATCTACGCTCAACGCTGTTCCCACAACCAACTCACTTCTGAAGAAATCAAAGTTGCCCTTCGCCCTTGTCATTCAACCGTATGCTTCTCTTCACGACGCCGAGGACCCCATCCCTGTGATTCCAGACCAAGTCATCTCACGATGCCGACGTTGTCGCTCTTATATCAACCCCTTCGTTACCTTCCTCGACCATGGCCACCGCTGGCGTTGTAACATGTGCAACCTGACGAACGACGTGCCACAAGCCTTCGATTGGGATGCTACACTGCAAAAGCCCGCCGACCGTGAGCTCCGTGCCGATCTCAACCACAGCATGGTCGAATTCGTTGCGCCGCAGGAATACATGGTCCGACCACCTCAACCGCTGGTTTACCTATTCTTGATCGATGTAAGTTATGCATCGGTGACCAACGGTCTTTTGGCCACCACCGCTCGCACCATCCAAGAGAGCCTCGATCGTATCCCGAACGCAGATCGGCGTACTCGCCTCGGTTTTATTGCAGTGGACTCAAGCTTGCACTACTTCAGCATTCCTCGAGACGATTCCGAGTCTTCGGAGCCCCGGATGTTGGTTGTCAGTGATCTGGACGAGCCTTTCCTTCCCATCCCTGGTGATCTCCTGGTGACGCTGAGCGAATGCCGGGAGAACATTGAGATATTCCTCCGCAAGCTGCAAGAAATGTTCCAGAACACCCAAAACAACAGCTGCGCCATGGGTGCGGCATTGCGAGCTGGTTACATGTTGATCTCCCCCGTTGGTGGAAAGATGACTGTTCTGAGCTCATCTTTGCCTAACACTGGTCACGGAGCGCTCACTATGAGAGAAGACAAGAAGGTGCTGGGCACCAGCAAGGAATCGAGTCTGCTTCAAACCGCAAACTCTTTCTACAAGAGCTTTGCAGTGGAATGTTCAAAATCTCAAGTCTCCGTGGATATGTTCCTCTTCTCATCGCAATACCAAGATGTGGCCTCGTTGAGCTGCTTGCCCCGCTACACTGGTGGTCAAACCTACTTCTACCCTGGCTGGAACGCTGCACGAAGTGAAGATGCCATGAAGTTCGCCCGTGAGTTCTCTGACTACCTCTCTTCGGAGATTGGTCTGGAGGCCGTCCTCCGCGTGCGCGCAACAACCGGTCTGCGTATGAGCACCTTTTACGGCAACTTCTTTAACCGTAGTTCCGATCTCTGTGCTTTCCCGGCCTTCCCTCGTGACCAGGCCTACGTGGTCGAGGTGGCCATTGATGAGACGGTTACAAAGCCGGTCGTCTGCATGCAGGCGGCTGTCCTCCACACTACCTGCAACGGTGAACGTCGTATCCGTGTCTTGACCCTGGCGCTTCCAACGACCCAGAACCTGGCAGACGTCTTCGCCTCGGCTGACCAGCAGGCCATTGCCACATTCTTCAGCCACAAGGCCGTCGAGCGCACATTGAGCAGCGGTCTCGAGCCCGCTCGTGAGGCTCTTCAGGCTAAGATCGTAGAGCTTCTGCAGACCTACCGCAAGGAGCTCGCAGGTGGTAGCGTTAGCGGCGGTGGCCTCCAGTTCCCTGCCAACTTGCGAGCCTTGCCTGTCCTATTCCTTGCAATGATCAAGAACGTGAGTTTTATCTTTGGTTGTGATGGCTGTTCTATACTAATCGAATTTATAGCTTGGTCTTCGCAAATCCGCCCAGATTCCCACGGACATGCGGTCCGCAGCTCTCTGCCTTCTCTCGACCCTACCCCTGCCGCTCCTCATCCAATATATCTACCCGAGAATGTACTCACTCCATGACATGCCCGACAACGCGGGTGTGCCTGATCCACAGACCGGCGAAATCCTCTTGCCCCCTGCTGTCAACTTGTCTTCGGCTCGCCTCGTGCCCTACGGCCTGTACCTCATCGACGATGGCCAGACCCAGTTCCTCTGGGTTGGCCGCGATGCTGTTTCGCAGCTCATCGAGGATGTCTTTGGCGTCCCTGACAAGTCGCAGTTGCGGGTGGGCAAGCAAACCCTCCCCGACGTCGAGAACGAGTTCAACCAGCGTGTGCGGGCCGTGGTTGAGAAGAGTCGGGACCACCGGGCCAAGGGTGTGGGCAGCATTATCGTGCCTCACCTGTACGTCGTTCGCGAAGATGGTGAACCCGGTCTGCGTCTCTGGGCTCAGACAATGCTGGTGGAGGACCGTGCCGACCAAAGCGTCAGCTTGGATCAGTGGATGGGTTCCTTGCAAGAGAAGGTTTGAGCCCTCTGCTCTGGCCATAGTATCGGTCAGCACTGACGATTTGCTCGCAGGTCGTGCAGTAATGTGGAGCTGACCGGCCGGTCTCGGTTGACCATGAAATTCGTGTTTTCGCGAGCTCTCCCGCCTGTACCATTACGTTGGGAAGATTGCGTTTGGCTTTCTATCACGGCGGGCATGTTTGGATTATCTAGTACTAGTAGATCGCTGAGTTATAGTTGACAGGCGATAGACGCTGATCGCATCTATGAAGAATTAACGGTATCATTTTTTCCACTATTTTATATGAGAATCTCCATGGGAGGGAATGGCACCTGAGATGATTTTTAGCAAATTGATGAAGTCCAATCGAATCAAATGGTCTAATTGTTGAAAAGAGAGTGCTCGGTCCCATTCACGCCCCCAATTCAGGTCTAGTGGTGCTTAGGTAGTAGTCTAGTACTCCGTAGTCTAGTGCACTAACGCACCAGGGTAGTAACGAGATTATATCCCTGCACTTTCCTATCTGGCGACCCCCCATTTGACATTTCACCCCTATTCTACTTCTTTCAGTACTTCTCGCCATGTTACCCTCGAGAGATGACATAGCGAAGTTCATTTCCATCGCTCCAGAAGCTAATGAAGGGACGGCCCTCAGATTCTTGGAGGTAAGACATTTAATCACTTTCCTTTTTTCCAATATACTAACATATCTATTTCAGGGAGCGGAAACCATTGACAATGCTATCAGTCGGTATTATGAGGCTCAAAATGAGGCTATAGCTCCAAGTTTGCCTACTATAGATGCCGATGTTGATATACGGAACTGCCCCCCACCATATGCACGTTCAGTAATAAGAGAGCTTTCACACCATTATAGCAATACATTTATTGCAGCTGCCGATATCCGCTCTAAAGATGAAGTACGATATAGAATACGTTCGTCTTGATAAAGTGCTAACATTTGTCTGCTCTGATAGGAAGATATGAATGCCGCCCTACACGGCATCCAGCAAGCCTGTCGCATTTTCAATAAGGATATTGAACCAGAACATACCACACAGTTTTATAATTGTAATTGCGATGTCCACAAATACAAAGACAGAAAGGCTGCCCGCCTTCCTATTCAGGAAATATGGTCCAAAGCAGTCATCTATCCAGGTCAGCTTTGCCAATTTGACGATATAAGTTGCGTTGTGATCTAACGCTTTCTTTCTCGTCCAGGCGAATCAGCCTATCATGACAGTCATTCGTCGGCTCTCATCATGAAAAATCCATATAGCCGTGTGCCCTCGCCTTTTCCGGTTACAACTCCCGGGACTTACAACAAGGCGAAACCTACTCCGTCCGGCTACAGCCAGCATCTTCAAAGGATGGTACAGTTGAATGCAACCCTCAATGCTGCGGCACAGGCTGCCATTGATTCCAAAGAGCCAGCATCTACCATATGGGATAGCGAAGACCCAGAGACCTCTGTGCCGAATGAGGCTGACACCACAGCTTCTCCTAGTACCCAGCAACCAGCAGAATGTCCCCCCATAGAGAGCTCCAAGCCATCGGCATTCGGCAGTTTGAAGAAGATATTATCCAAGAAGACGCCAGAGGAGAAGGCAGAGAAAGCAGCTACTCACACCAGAGAGCTGCGCATGGCCATCCTAGAGGAGGAGCAAGGCAGGTGGCCAAATCAAGAATGGCGACTGCTTGCGACAGCCTACCAAGAAACAGTCGGAACAAGTCAAAAGATCGCCGATCTTCGAGCCCAGTGCCCAATTCAGTATCTCCACCTCCTCCGGGCAGGATATTTTGAGCCTATTCCAGAGGCTTGGGCGAAATCCACGTCCAACCCTCTCAGATTGAGCATTGACGCAGTTGGTGGGTGGAGAGGAATCACCCCCGGTTGGAGAGGATACAAAGATCTCGCCGAGGAACGTCTGTACTGGGTCATGAATAACACAGAGGGCATTGTTGGAAACAAAACGAAGCCCGATGTCATCTCCGCGATGAACATGGCTCGATCTAGAATGGAATCTGCTATTGAAACCCCTGCGGAATACTTCTCTCGCGACGATATCTACAAGGTTCAATCCATCTCAGAGACTTACTCGAAGCAGGTTATGACTGCTTTCAGACCCTCTGGGGAGCCGGCAGCCCCTCTAGACGAGACTATGATCCTGTTAGAGGTCTCTGAGTCTATGAGCTCTGCACCGCTTCGCCCGAATTATGATGGGCATCTCATTACAGGTTATTCCGCCTCTAAGCAGCCCATGAGCAAAGGTGATATCACCCTCCGACCAGTCTATATCAGATACTAAGTTCAATAAATAGATATTGCCCAGGCCATCGTACGTCGCTTTTCCCAAGCAATGATCAATCACGACCATGATAGCCGAGGCTACCAGCTCGTCACATTCGCGGATCAGGCCCGCTACATGGGCCACATCAACCACCAGAATTTCGAACAAATATGGCCAAACATTGGATTTGGAGGGGAGACTCGACTGATGCTAGGCTGGCAAAGAGCCAAGGAACTCCATTTCCAAAAGCACTCTGGGACAGCAATTCACCATCCTATGTACGGATGGCAAGCTGGTCCACAAACACCCATACTGCGACTGCTTATCGTCCTCGACGGTGAAGCACCAGACATGAACGAATTCCAGCTCGATCTTCTTGGTCTGTCCTGGGTGTATGTCACGATCTTCCTGGTGGGTGCAGATCAGTGTCCAAACCACCATCGCCTTGCGAACGAGCTGCAGATAATCAGCAATACCAATCCCCGGGTCTCTTTCCTGGATGCACAGGGGAACATGCCGGAGCGCTTCATCGCCCATGAACTGCTCAAGCGACATCTCCGATACAATATTTCATTCACTGATTTTGAGACGCTAGAGCAGGCGACAGTGGATCTCCCATCGTATGTAGAGTAACTACAGTCTGATGGAGGATCAACCATGATTAGGCCCATATTTATGTTGTCTTCTGTTGCAAGCTATCATGTTCTCCTCACTCCAATGAAACCTAGGCCGCTGCTACCGTTATCAATCCAACTTGCAAGTTTATTTCTAGAAGTAAGCTTTGACCCGAACATAGTGATGGTCTATATATATCAGACCATTAGTAGAATCCACATCCACATTTCTATTTTGAGTGTATATTTTAGCGCCATGATCAAGCGTAAGCCCTGAAACAAATAAGTAACCTCATAAAAGGCCTGATTAGGAGAATCACACGGCTTACAATCGGAGTCCATTGACCTCACCATATGCGCATGACCTACTCCGTATACTTGGTTTACCTGAGATTCAGTGTCTCAGACCCAATTAATAGGACCCCCCTGTGACTAGTGAAACTAGGAGTGGTGGATTCTCCAATCAGGATGAAACCAGCACCTCCTATGTTGGTGGAGCGGGAAAAGGTGATTGTGACAAGTTTCGTCCGGTGCAGTAGCGCCGTCCAGCGGCCAACGAGCGTGACAGGCGAGAGACTTTGGCGCCGTGGCGGAGATCTGAGGATCGCTGTGGTGGGATGTACAAGTGGGATACTTGTAAATGTATGGGTCCCTTGTAGATAAATTAAGTACCCCCAGATACTGGTGGAGACACTTTGATGGTGATCCCAAGGTTCCACGGCCATCAACCCAGCGAAAGCGCCAGGGGGAAAACAGCGACAGACCAACTTCTTCTTCTCTTCCTCGACCTCCTCGTCTTCACTCCGCTCGCTCTGGGATCGTCGCTCACCCGGCCTCCCTCCCACGGTTTCCTTCTTAATTGACCCCAATTCCCGTGTTCTGATCCTGAACCACTTTGTTTCATCTACCGGAGCCGCCTTAAAGCTCTCTGCCCCACCACTTCCCCTACGGCTGTTTCTCCAGGTTCACCTATCCTCATCCTTCTCTCCTTTCTTCTCTATCTCCCTTTGCCTTCGTAGAGAAAAGGCGACACAAGGTGAGTCGCAGTTCAGACCCGCTGTGATCCCGCATGAGAGAATGACCCCGCTTCCGAGCGGCTTGGCTTGGCTCATCTCCATGCGCTCCAGCATCATCACCGTCAATCCCACTGACATGCCACGTTCTTAGACTCTGAGCTTGATACCTGATCCGACCTGACACCTACACCTGTGCTCTTCGTATCCCACCCGGTCTCGTGGGTCTAGACGCTGTACTCCGTACCTGTCACATCTTCCCCACCCGGAGCTTCGTACGACCAAGTTCCTCTCTTCTACACCTCGCCTTTATCCCCTGAGTCTCGCCGGCCCTTGAAACCCAATCCAGGCAATAGCTTGGACGGTTTTCCAAACCAATTCGATTACAGCGCAAACGAAAGTAAGCTTCATATCCCGGTTTCCCTGCTTTGTCGTTGCGTTTGTTGCGTTTGTTCCCTCGCGTTACTGCGGTCGAATTGCTTGCCTCTGAGCGATTGACTTCTGCTATTGTTTTCATTCCCTGGACTGTGAATCGCCAACTTGTGCGCCATCCCCATCTACTGTTTTCAATCCCCTGCTCCCATTTATTAACCATGGACTGTGTTCGGCCTTTTTTCCACTGGATCCCAAGGATGTTTAAAGCTGACAATCACCCCAAGGCTGAATCTATCAGAGAAACTATTCTCGCCATGGGTCAGCAGAACCCTCCCGTGGGAGGATCCCGGAAGATCTCCTTCAATGTCTCCGATCAATATGAAATCCAAGATGTTATCGGCGAAGGCGCCTACGGTGTCGTCTGGTAAGTAGACGAGATTCCTTCTCAATGCTCTTCTAACCTCGTACAGCTCTGCCATTCATAAGCCCTCCGGCCAGAAGGTCGCCATCAAGAAGATCACGCCATTCGATCATTCTATGTTCTGCTTGCGTACACTGCGCGAGATGAAGTTGTTGCGCTACTTTAACCACGAGAACATTATCTCCATCCTAGATATTCAACGGCCTCGCAACTACGAGGGATTCAATGAAGTTTATCTCATTCAAGTACGTTGAAGCTGTCTGAGATGTGCATGCATGAAATATGGTTCACTAACAGCATGCAGGAGCTGATGGAAACAGACATGCATCGGGTTATCCGCACACAAGATCTCTCAGATGATCACTGCCAGTACTTTATCTACCAGACCCTGCGTGCGCTTAAGGCAATGCACTCAGCCAACGTCCTCCACCGAGACTTGAAGCCCTCGAATCTTCTGCTCAATGCCAACTGCGACCTGAAAGTCTGCGACTTCGGTCTGGCTCGCTCGGCCGCTTCCACTGATGATAACTCTGGATTCATGACTGAATATGTGGCCACACGTTGGTACCGTGCACCGGAGATCATGTTGACATTCAAGGAATACACCAAAGCTATTGACGTGTGGAGTGTCGGCTGCATATTGGCTGAGATGCTGAGCGGAAAGCCTCTCTTCCCTGGCAAGGATTGTACGATTCCACTTTCCCTTCAAGAGTAACAGAACTAACATACACCTAGATCACCACCAGTTGACCCTCATCCTGGATGTCCTCGGCACACCCACGATGGAAGATTACTACGGCATTAAATCCCGCCGCGCCCGCGAATACATCCGCTCCCTCCCCTTTAAGAAGAAGATTCCCTTCCGCGCACTCTTCCCCAAGAGCAACGACACGGCTCTGGATCTGCTCGAGAAGCTGCTCGCTTTCAACCCGGCTAAGCGTATCACCGTTGAGGAAGCCCTGAAACACCCCTATCTTGAGCCATACCATGATCCCGAAGACGAGCCCACCGCACCGCCCATTCCTGATGGATTCTTCGATTTTGACAAGAACAAGGATGCTCTGAGTAAGGAGCAGTTGAAGCGTGAGTTATCTGCCTCTGGTTCCTCTTCTCCTTGTGTATTTACTAACCTCTCCCAGTCTTGATCTATGAGGAAATCATGCGGTAAATCGACTTGACTATTTCCAAATGAGATTAGGTTGACTAGGAGGATACTGGATTCTATTCTGCACGCAATTTGACTTGACAGCGTGATTTGAAACATGTTAGAGATAGCAGGCAACTCGAAATGTGATTATGAGTATTTAAGTAAAACAGCTGCTCCGTAACACTACCTGACTGCGCCTTTAGTCCTAATCTCAAGTTTATATACTTATAGTTCCATTTTACATCTACTTATACACAAAATACATAGCTATACAGATCCCCATCCCTCAGATCCCACTCATAAACTTCTCAATCCCCTCAAGCACCCCCTCAGGACTAGGCCTCGGCGCACAAACATGCGCCTCAAACCCAAATTCCTCACGCAGATGATCCCGCGTCGTCGGCCCAATAGTAGCAACAAAAACCTGCCCATTCCCATTCCCCGTTCCATTCCCCTTCCCATCCCCATCCCCATCCGCAAAAGGCCCCAACCCAAGAACCCTAAGCATAGCCTCACACCCGGTCGGCGAAAAAACAACCACCCAAACCGCCCCATCCGACGACCTGCGCACCACATCCGCGAAATCCCCCTCAAAGGACCCCATCACGCCCGTCTCATACACAACAACCTCCTCAACCCCGACCCTTCTCTGCACCGGCAACGCCTCATCCATCAGCGTCTTCGGGATGATATCCCTGCGCACTTCGCCGACCAGGAATAGGAGCGAGGGCTTGTGCGTCGGGTGCAGGGCGTCGTAGTGCTCGAGGATGAAGCGCGCGAGGTTCTCGCCCGTTCCGGTTTCTGCGCCGTGGATGCTGGCGTGTGGGAGGTGTTTGTCGCGAAGGGTTGTTAGTGTGCGTGCTGTGGCTGGGCCGACGGTGTAGAGGGCTAGTGGGGAGGATGGGGTGTTGAATTGGACTGGATTTGTTGGTGTTAGTGTTTTGGAGTCTGGTTGGATTGGGGGGTGTGTGGTATGTACCGTCTTGTTCGTCTTCGACCATCTGCGCGAAACCCTCTACTGCGCGCTGGCTGGTGAAGATTAGACCGCCGTATTTTCGAGGGGTTGGGGCTTCGGTGTGGAATTCGCCGCTGGTGAATCGGTCGCGGACTTGGCTGAGGTTGTCTTTGTGGAAGCGGTGTTCTAGGACTGGGATGAAGGTTGGGGTGTAGTTTTGTGCGGAGAAGAACTCTTCGTAGCCATCTTGGGGGGAGGATTTTGTTTTTAGGAGGAGGATGGGTGTTGGAGGCATTGTAGGTTTGGCTTGGAGTTAGTATGAGTATGAGGCTGAAGGTGAAGAAGGTGAGACGTAGGTAAGGTTTGGAGGTGGGATATGATGTTATCGGGTGCGGGTGCGGGGAGTTCTGGGGAATTGGGTTTTTGATATTCGCGGATGATCAAAGTTGCATCGTTACTTTATGCTTGTCTACGAGTCTACTGTATACGTTCATGCACTCATCCAACAAAGGAAATCAACTTGGGTCTAGGAAGGCTTATTTACACATTAAAAACACAAACTACTGATCGTCCAGCACATGCACGTACCGCTTGTCCTCCCGGCGCTCACGCTCCGTAGAGGGAGGCAGATCGTAGTAAGAGGCACTACGGTAGGCCTGCAGGTAGTGGAAGGTCAAGTTGGCCAGATCGGCGGTCTCGTTCATACCGAGGTCCTTGAAGGTCTTGGCGGTCGGGTCAATCACCTGGTCAATGAACTCGCGCTCCACCTCGTCGGCGGACAGGGTGTGCCACCACAGGAACTTGTTGGCGTAGTGCGCGAAGGGCTTGAGGAGAACCTTGGGGACGTTGATGTGACGGCGCTTCTTGATGATTTCACGGTCGACCAACTGGGCGATTTCGGCGGTGGAGTAGTTCTTGGGGCCGTACAACTCGAAGGTTTGGCCGGCGGTACTGTCATCGTGCAGCATAGCCTCCAAAGCGGAACCGACATCAATGGCCTAGAGGGTTAGTTCAATAGCTTGTCCACCCGGGAGAATAACTTACGTGGACAGGCCAGTAGCGCTCGTTCATGTGGTTGGCGGTCAAGACATTGCCCATCTTGGCCAGT